GGGGGCTGCGGGAGGAGACGAGCCGGAGAAACGGGATGCGGGCAGAGCCGTTGTCTGCCCCGGTGAGCCCTGCGCGGCAGCTCAGCCTTCGCTGGAGCGACGCTGTCGGCGCTCGGATTGATAATTAAGCCGTAGTACGGTCATAGATGCAAATATGAAAATCCAGGCGGTTCCCCTTGCTTAAAATACGACAAAAGAAAAAAGGAAAGAAAAAAAAAAAAACCCAAACACCAAGCCACCACACAAAAAACCTGGAGCTAAATTAACGATGTGCTCGCCCAATTATAGCCACCCTCCGGTGAATATAAGGTTGTCATGGCAACCTGCCCAGCAAAGGATACGGCCAAAAATAAAGCACAGCAGGGAGAGAGATCTTTTGAATCCGATTTTGCCGTCAAAGTAGAATTAAGGTTTCTTCAGAGGCCAGCTCTCCCGGTTAATTTATGGCTGCGGCTCTTCCATGGATGTTCATTAACATGATCCGTTTATCCGGATGAATGTTACGGCAGAACTAGACGGGGAGAGACAAAGAATCCGTGGCTAGGGAAAAAGTTACCTCTCGAATCTAACCCCAACAACGGGGAAAGGAGGAACGATTAGGCGGGCTGGTGGTTTTGGGAGCCTGCTGGGGGCAAGGGGAAGGAGAAGGTGATTTAAATGGCTCGTAGGAACATTTCCATGTGGCTTTGAGCGGGTCTGAAGGGGCTGAACGGATCCAGCTGGCGAGAAGGGTGTCTAAAAGGTGTTTAAATTCTGTTTTCTCCATTTCTCGACTCAGAGTTCGGTGCATTTATGTGGAAACGCTTGATTTGCGCGGAAACATTTGCAGTTTGCTTCTTTTAAGCTCGGCTTAAAACCCACCTCCTTAAAGCCCGGATGGATGCCACGGGCCGCGGAGGCGGAGGCGGAGGAGGAGGAGGAGGAGGGACGGGCGAGGATGCGGTTCTCGGGCTGAATCCCCAAGGATGCAGCCCGGCTGCCCGGGGAGATGGTCCGGCGGTGGAGGTGGGAAAACGAGAATTAACGGTGTTCAACCCGGGGCGGC